CCTGTCTTATTTTCAGGGAAGCACAATATCTACTGTATTTCTCTCTCTATCCCACTACCTACCTACCTACTTACTCTCTCTCTCCCTACCTATCTACTGTATGTCTCTCTCTCTCTATCCTACCTACCTACCTACTTACCTACCTACCTACCTACCCACCCACTCTCTCTCCCTACCTATCTACTGTATTTCTCTCTCTTTATTTCTCTCCCTCTATCCCTTTACCTACCTACCTACTTATCTACCTACCTACCTACCTACCTACCTACCTATCTACCTACTGACTCTCTCTACCTACCTACCTACTGTATTTCTCTTTCTTTCTCTCCCTCTCTATCCCTCTATCTATCTACCTACCTACTTTTTTTTTAATTTGCCTCTTCAAAACCTTGGTGCGTCTTATACTCCGAAAAATACGGTATCTAGTATTCAGTAGATACTTCTTTGTATACATTGTCACTTCCTGCCAAAATCTTTTTAAAGAAGTGTCTTCTCTGCTTTTTTACCATATCACTATCCCATGGGGGATCTCCAGTATTCAGGAGCTCTCCGCTAGCTTTATCTGCTTCCCTATTTCTTTTTTTCCCTTTTGGAGGCTTGCACATCCTTTCCCACTCAAATCAGGATGAGAAGGGAAAACATCTATTGCTTTTGAAACCTCCTCTTCTTGTTACATGCTGGTACCTCAGTAGTTATTCTTACCCCTCCCCCTGAGGATATGTCTAGCTGGGAAAATCTGTTCATATTAGCTGTCAATGGAGCAGTTTAGTACTACCGCAAGCATAGCTTCCATAGTTTCTATTTTGTCCTTAACTTGTATATTTGCTCTACATTGTAGTACAAGACTAGTATGGACATAAACATTTTTAAAGTGCTCATTGTCCACTCTTTCTTGATCAAATAAGGACAAACCATTCATTTGCTTCCTAAACCTGCAACTGGGTTTCCATTGATCTTAGCTCACCTGTTATTTCTTATTCTCTGGATGCTTGCAACATGGCTGTGAAAGATCCCTTTCCTTGGCAGATTCGACAATCTTGAACTAAGTGCCCTATCTTGCACATTTATAACAGGATCTATTTTCTCTTTGGTTTGTTCATCCTCACTTTCCCCTGCATACCTCCTTTTTCAGTCCTTTTTTCTTTTTTCCAACCTCTCCATGTTCCCTTCTAGCTCCTTCAGTTTTTCTGACTGCAAGATAATCTTCAGCTAAGGAGGCTGCCATTGTTTCTATGTCTAAGTGACACTCTTGCACCCAAAATCAGTCAGGAGCAGGCAGGATCTGTAGGAATTATTCCAAAATACTTTCATCCGTACCATGTCTATCTGGCTGCAATCATTTTCTAGCTAGGTCTCTCAGCCTTACTTAGAGTTCTCTCACTCCTTCCTATTCCAGTTATATTCACGGAATCTTTGCATATTTTGTGACTTCATAATAGTAGAGGGTCACCTCTTTTACTTTATTGTAATCCACCACCTCCTGCCACCGAGTCTTCCCCTCCCATTTACATGACATTATTGCACATTCAGACATCATTAATAATGCCTCTGTGTCTTCATCACACACTTAGGGATGGATAGATTTTTATATACCTAGCATACCCTACTAAGGGTGGAGCTTCCCAGTGGTGGAGCTTCTCCTACAGTGACTTCTGTTTTCCTGAGGAGGGAAGAAACACTATGCTCCTTCCTTTAAGCTTTTCTTTCTTTCCCTTTTCTTTTTCTAGGCAATCTCTACATTCAGTCTCTTGTCATGTAATTTCCTCTTCTTCCCTTAAGAGATGGGTCTGTTTGCTATTGGTGCAGTGTCTCCTTCATACTACTGGTTCATGACTCTGCTGGATTTTTAACTCTGGGCTGGATTTGCTTTAACTCTCTGCTTTATATGCTTCCACTGTGGGATCTGTATCTGTGTGTTCCTCAGTGACCATCTCTCCCTTTTTCCTTTATCTTTTTTTGCTGTATCTGCTGCCCCCTTGATGCATCCCTGAGTTTGAGGGCATGCTTGTGATCCCAGGGTACTAGGAATTATGTATCAAGTACTGGTTGCATTGCTTCACCTCCTTCTTCATGCACTTATTTGAATATCTAAAGCAGTGTTTCTCAACCTTGGCAACTTGAAGATGTCCAGACTTCCAACTCCCAGAATTCCCCAGCCAGTGAATGCTGGCTGGGGAATTCTGGGAGTTGAAGTCCGGTCATCTTCAAGTTGCCAAGGTTGAGAAACACTGGTCTAAAGTATCATATGCATGCTTGGAGCATGATATTATGATCTCTCATGAGGAGTTCTTTCTGATGACGCCGCCACACCACAGCATAGAATAAAAACGTTACATAATCTTTATTGTAGTAAACACTTTACTCAGCAACAGGCTGTTACCCTGGCTGTTACCCTAACTCCGCCCTCTTACCCTGACAAGTTGGTTTAGCATGTAAACATGTGGGTCTCAGTCCTTACAACAGCTAAAAGTCTTTAAAGGTTGTAAAGTGGCATCCAGGCCTTGTCTCTTTCCAACAGTTTTTGCATTCATTGGGGTTTACATGCTTCCTTAGCGTGGCTGTTCCTTTTATAATTGTTGCCAAGGTCCAGGGCAAGCTCTGCTCTTAAGCAATGTTGGTATTGAGTATCCAAGCTGAATTTCAGGCAGGGATCAAGCACAGATGGGCCACTTACCCTGCATTTGGTCTTGACAGTTGACTGTCAGCCATCTTACTTGCCTGTAGTTGTTATATGTGCCTGGATGTCACTTTGTACTTCCTCATCTTCTAGATGCCCCTTCTTTGTGTATTCTTCTCCCACTCACACATACAGACACACATTCCGCGTTGGTTTTCCTTTTTTTTAGCCTAAGGGCATGAGTGGGATACAGTTGCTGTTCATAGATATTGGTATATTTCTGGAAAAGCCTAGGGGATGGCTCAGCTATCCAAATTGGATGTTGTTATGCCAGTCAAATAGCGCTGGGTGTGCCCAAATGACCAGCAGAGATATAGGTGTGGATGTCTATGGATGGATGTTGTCTGTCCATCTCTCTCAGCTGGCGGGTGGTGGTGGTGGTGGAGGGAATTGAGCACTCATATTTCCAAGACTGTAAATCTGTGTCCCTTTGTGGAAGGGGTTGAGTTTAACCTAGCCTCAGGAAGTGGGGTGGGTGGCGTTTCTGCATGGCTGCAACCACACCATTCAATGTTTTTATGCTGTTTCTCTAAAGCACAGAGAACAGTTCTAATTCTCACGTTTCTCCCTTCCATCATGCATGTGATGCTACTATACTTGTTATTAGTCTGTCTAATCTCACATGCTAATAGTATTATATTCTGATGAGAAGGTTAAACATAAATATGGTTAAACACAAATAAATACAAATGAAACAATACAGAAGAATGCGGATAGCTGTCTGGGACGTTCTCCATTATACTCTCTTCTCTTCAATCCTGAATAAGGGGAGGGGGAAACAAAATTGTAGGTGAAACATTCAAGAATTAACAACAAACCCCTGCAAATACACATCATTATCATCATATCTCTAACCCAGAAAAATCACATCTTGGTGTCCCTATTTCATTAATTCCTATACCACAACTAGCAGTTCTGTTAACCACCATCATCCTCTTCCTAGGCTTGGGCTCTATCTTCCCTCTGCTCACTAGAGGCACTATTTTATGGTAATAGCACACACAAAAAAGGAAGAAAGAGAAGACAGACAATACATAATCCACACTGGTTCTAGGCCAAGTTCCTTGTAAAAAAGACCTAGAACTCACCTTATGCATGGGTTTCAATTCCACCCAGTAAAATAATCACATTAGCTGAATTGCCAAGGATCCAGGATGGGGAAAGACATTTAATACCCCTTATATGAGTTGGACTTGGCTTCCATCAGACCTTACCAGCATAATCGATGATCAGTAGACATCAAATTACTTGTTTATGATTCAAGACATGAAACGGATCAGTAGTTGTTCAAAGTGTTCTCCAGTGATTTATTAGAGTCTCAAAAAGGACACAAGAATTTAGAATATCACTGGGAAAGGGGAAACTATGACCTTGCTGTGCTTTTAAAAAATGTATGTAAAATAAAAATAATGTGAGCAATATTGTGGTATTCTCAATTTTTAGAGTGAAATTTGATGTTGGGATACCTGTATCTAGAGCTTTAGAATAGAGTTCTAGGTAGAGACAAGTTGGGAGTATGTCCTGATCAATAAGAATGTATAAAGCAAGGCTGGGACAAAATCCTATGTTGCATTATAAACATTGCATATTACATGAATGCTTAATATGTAGCATGAAAACCAGAGATCCCAATTCTTAGAAATATGAACAAGTAGAACACAATAGCTAATAAGTTCTTTTGTGTGTGTGTGTGTCTGTTTCTCTGTTTGTCTGCCTGTGTGAATGCTACTTTTTCATAGAAATTAAACATAAAGGAAACATTGAACATAATCTTACAGATATACATCAATCAGTAGACTTGCTTTAAAATTAGAGAAAATGATAGTTTGTAGCCTGTACAGTGTGCACCTTTACCTTTTTAAGGCATGTTATGACATTAAAACAATAAAGTTACTAATAAAGTTAGTAATAATATTACTTTGTTAAACTGGTCTTACCATAGCAGCATTAAGATTTTATTAATATTCCTTCACTATAACAATATTTCTTTAAAATGATTTAACTATTTGGAAACCATAATTCACTAAACAATTATTTGGTATTTCTTAAAAAGTCAGTAATGAAACTGACTTTAAATTGATCTATCTCGTAATATGAATAGAATTCCCTTAATCTGAGTTGAATCTTAAATTATAGATGTAAAATCAATGTTAACTAATTTATTACAAAATATCAACACTGCTAGAGTAATATGTGGGAGTAAGTTGAATTATTTATTTGTAAATAAATAATGTTTGCTGTCTTTCAGGAAACTTGACACCTCACTTTCAGAGTATTTTTATAAGGAGCCCAGTTTTCTCAGGGATGGTTCTTCCTGAAGTTCAGCATCCTAAAAGTGCAAGAAAAAAATATCCCAAACTCAGTGCACTACTTGCAGATATGGTTCATGTATGTCAGAAGAGGTCTGAGTATCAAGCTTACTGATGATTATTAATTGTAGCCTAACATTATTTTATGTATAATTTATACATCTTGAATTATCAGTTGTATTTAAAAATGGGAAAGAGACTTGCTACATGATATAAAAACTTCTTTGTTGTTGATTTGTTTGTCACTGCCCTTTTCATATTCAGTAGAGGTTTTATTGATATTTGAAATTTCAGTTCAGGTCAATAAAGAGAGGTATTTGCATATTTCAGATATTTTTGCAAGTAAGTCCGTGAAGTTTTAATTTTTCAGTCTAAGATGCTATTTTCCATTTTTATCCAACAGATTGTTGTAGAAAAGCTCTTGAGTATGTCTTCAAATGTACTGAAAGGCAGAGAGAGGTACTCTATGTGCATGCCTATGCATCTATATGTATGGATGAGAGAGAAAAATATATGCTTTTAAATAAACAGATGTGATTTTACTACAGCAAGTACCACTTTTAAAAAAGTACCTTCAGATCAGTCTCGACTCCTAATAACTACATGGACACATTCATATGAGCCTTGGAAGAATCAAATATTTTTGGATGAAATTCCTATTGACTTGACAATTTAATATGCAGGAGTAAATATATTTTAGATATATTTGTCACACATCCTAATAAATATTAAATAGACTTTTTAAATAAATGCTTACTTCTGTAGTTGAGGGTGAAGATTGTCTGTGTTTGCAGTAAGCAGATTCAGGTTTTATGTGTAAGTAGAGCGTCATTGTTGCTTTCTTAGTTGCATAGCATAGGGTAGAGCATTTGGGGAAAAGATGACGAGTTTATTGTAAGTTTATTTGGGTAGTGTAGTGCTTTGAATCTGATTCCAAATCTATGATCCTGGGGAAAACCACGACTACCTTAAGGAGTGGCAGACAGATGCTATATTTATGTTCCTTCATACTCCAAAGTATACATTGGAATGGAATTGAACATGCTACATAGTTCTACTGTTTAAGGCATAATATTATGGAAACTATTAGCCATTTATTAAATCTTATGAGTGGATTATAAGTTGGCACAATATTATGGAAACCAGTAACCATTATTAAATATTAAGATGAAGAGCACACAACTGGCATTACTTTGGTTCAAACAAGATATTGTACTAACAGAAGATAAAGTATCCTTTGATCATTTTCATCTTTACTTAGAAAACATACACATCTAGTAATGCATATGTTAACAGAGGAGATGTTTTTAGTAAGGAGGAATATTGAAAACAAGAAGATACTAATTAATCAAAATGAATTTACTAAGTGGAAACATAGTCTCTCCACCATCTTCTCTCAAGTTAAAAATAATAATAAACAAAATTAAAAGAAAAAATTAAACTTATCTTCAAAGTATCTTCATTGGCAGCTCAATATGATCTGGCCACTTATAATACTAAAAAATACTTAATGTTCAAAACCTTTCCCCCTGCTTACCTATTTCTTCTTGGGTTTTAAAGATCTTACCAAAAACAGAAAACTATTTTTCTAAGTCTCAAATATTGTTAACTTTTATTAACCAATAGATACGATTTTGGAAGCTACTGCTTCAAAATTAGACATACTTTTTCTTTAAAAAATGCTATTACTAATTACACGTATAGCCTTCAGTAGTATTAATTCTTTTTCATTATGGCATGAATTGGTGATCACAGTTTCAGCATCTTTAAAAGTATAATGTGATTAAAATACATAAAAATTCAAACAATTGTTTTTCAAAGAAGATAATTAACTTAAAAATGTTTCCTAACAAATCTATATTAATAATTAAAAGACACTTGTACAATTTTCTATCCATTTCATAGCTTTTTTGTTTTGTAGCTTGGGTTTTATTGCAGTTTTTAATAGGATCCAAATCAACTTGTTAATTAGTTTTCTCTTTGTAAAACTGTCATGCTCTACTAACCCTTTTGGCCACTTATACAAACATTTTGGAAATTGTACACTTCTAGCTTTGAATCATTAGTTATTTCTTACTAAAATTTGTAGTTAACATTACAGAATAAATTTGTAAATAATTATTGGTTTTAAACTTTCTACACTGCCTAGAGTCACTGTTGTGAGATAAATAAATAATTTTATTTTTCACTGAGGAAAGGGAGTTTGAAATTATACAACAATGTCTAACATTTTTAAGACAGCTAAAGTATTGTTTTTTTAAAAAAATCCATGATAGTTTGGCAGGAATTTAGGATTCTGGAGGATTATTGTTAGCCTTTTATCTATTTATTTATTTGTGATGTGAGAAGGTTTGTACACACATTGTAGTAATAGCTATTTCATGATGGATGATCATTTGTTGTGGATGAATCCTGATGTATTTGGTGAATAGAGGGGTTATTTTGTGTCTTGTAATTAGTTTAGCAGTGAATGGTGCTTTTGCATGCTTCTGATACTTCCCATAATTGAACTCACATCTCGTTTGCTTATATGAGGAAAGAAACCTTTGTTAAAGAAGTAGAGGCTATCTGCAAATCTATTTTCAGTCATTTGAAAATTTAAGGGTAACATCTTAATTCTGTTTAATCAAAATTTTAGCTAAAAGGTTTCCCTTAAATATTATTAGCTGATTTTCTTTGTGCTTATAGAAAATTTCAGTATGCATATTATTTCTATATCTTTCCTGAATAAATTGTTTGAAGTGGAACCCATTTACTCTTATCAGCAAATTGTGCTGGCCTAAAATTTGCCTTTTCCCCCCAAACCACTAAGCTTCCTTCATTTCACTCCCTAGGGAAAAAAGGGAGATATGGTAGATCCTCTTGATCTTGAAATACAGAAATAAATAAATTTGTGTCAATTCTGCTTATCATAGTTTGTTTTTTGTCTTAACCATATTACAACTTAGTGATTCTTTGACTTTATATTGGTTATGCTTAAAATAAGAGGAAAGACCTGCTATTATGTTTGGGCCATGCAAGTCCCAGGCAGGTATATTAAGTGGTTATGCAATGTAACAATGCAGCTGTGACTAATCTGACAAGTTACATCAGCTTTCTTTCCCAGGTCTCCTCTCTGTTTTGGTAACCATTACTCAGATCACAGACGTAATAGTATTGGCTTTTGTTGTCTTGTCACTAATTCTGTTGTATCCTCATTCCAAATAAGATTGGGAGTTGCTATGGTTTAACTGCCTGAACTCTTTGTGAAAGGCCCTATTGAAATGAGGAAACCTGATTTAATCTATTACATAATGACATATTTCCTGAAGGCTGATTGATGGCCTCTTTATAACTTTTCATCCATAATATAGATTTTCTCAAAATTTTCTGTTATATTTCTGAAATCTACATTTTACAAATATTGTTTAAGACAGTGGCTGCTTATCAGATCTTAAATCTAAAGAATTGTACACATAGTAACAAAGAGTCAGTTACATCATTAATGGCAATAGCAGTGGCAGGCACATTTGTAATAATACTGTACAGCTATCATTTATTGCTGAACAAAAGTCTGAAGTATTTGATTCAGCATAAAGTAATGAGGCCAATAACTCCTTTAGCACTCATAGACTTCATTTCAGTGAAATGAAGGCTTATCATTCATTCATTCAGTGAAAGGTTACCAAAGCTGCAAGCAGCAGAATGATGGTATTGACAAATTTAAAATGTGTTAGCCAAACATGGAAATTTGCTTCAGTTTCTACTTTATGCAATGCTGGTACATATGAAATTTCACCGATAATACAGAAAGTGCTAGATTGTAATTCTGGGATGTCTCTATGTTAACTTTCATATTCCATAGTACCATCATGTCAGCTACCCACAGAGTTCTAAGGGACTCTGAACAATTTAGTCATCTCAAACAACGCTTGCTCCTTGACCGGTATAAAGCAATTTCTGGATTGATAACACTGCTTCTGAGAAATGTTTTTACATTCTCCCTACGATTCTGGCAGAGAAAAATTCTAGGAATAATATTACAGTTCTTAACTTAACTTTGGATGGGGGAGTATGAAGCTTACAATCAACTCTGTTTTTCTTTTAAATTATATAGCTAAAGCAAGAGGGCAAATTAAGTATTTTCCTATTGCTCACTTTATGAAATGCCTGGCCTTTTTGATGGCAAAAAGCCACCCTCACCCCACCTCCAGCAAAGCCCCTTTGCACCAATAGGACCATATAAACACAGCAAAGCAATTCTGCATAAATCTGAAGGCTCTTGGGCTGCTTCCAATCCAACAGTTTCTAGTTTTCAGCCAGTATCCCCAGCCTGACACCCTTCCAATATGCTGGAATACAATTAGCCTGGCTAGGTTGCAGAAGACTTTTCTGCAACATCTTTGTCTTGGCCAAATTCAAAACTAAAGAACTTTTCCTTCCCCAGATTTACTAAAGTTCTTAAGTTCACTTTTTTCCTAGTGAATTATTACACACATACTCAGAGGCGGGTGGGAGACAACTAGCTATTAGCTCTTATTGAGGATCAATTCTGTTTGCAAACAGCTTTTGGAAAAATGATTGTGAGGCAGCTCTTGCAAATGTTCACTGCTGTTAAATTTAAATATGTTTACATTAATTTATTAAGATCAGCAACTTTGTAATCAGAGGATTATGTGACATCTAATAGAATATAAGCTTTAACACTCCTGGCAAACAAGGGCTGTACTCTTCAGGAATAATACCCTTATTTATTTTTAAAAGGGCAGAAGAGCTTTCTTTGCTAACTGGGGATTATAGGAGTTCAATTCAAGATATTGAATGAGCCGCAGGTTGTGGAAGTTATGCATTTTCTTCATTTTCATCTTGACTGGCTAGTTCTGCCTATTCAAAGACAGGACCTGATAATATGAATAGATTTTCTTTTTCTGGGAATGAAGGGAACCATGCTGGTCTCAGCATTTTAGAAAATCCAGTGATGTCAGGTTCACAGTGGCAGAACTAGTGCCTTGAGTGGGGGAAAAGTGCTATTAGGAATGAGAATGAGACTAGTTTTTTCACAGTCTGCCTTAACATAGGAGACGCGCCCCCCCCCCCCCATTTTGTGGTGGTGGTGGAAATCATTCAGAGCGACTAAGGGCATAAATGGCCAATTATAATTGGGAATGTAGTTGGGAAAAGAAAGATCAAGTGCTGTAGTCCTCCTAATTAAAACTGGCTGTGCGTATAAACAAATTGCAAATGTGTTTCCTAATTATAAATTCAGCATAACATCCAGTTTGCCCCTTTGTTTTAGATTCCTTCTTGCACATTTCTTACTGTTTCTAGGTTTGCAATAAATAATGCTCTGGAATAAAAATTAGGTAGGCTTCCCCCAGCATTGCACTCTTTGGGTGTTTTGGACTACACTCATAATCCTTGGATAGCGTTACCCTGGATATGGATGGTGACATCCACATCTAGGGCCTCTAGCTGAGAAAGGCAGAATTGCTAAGTTATCATCAATAGCCCAGATGAGAGGTTATCATTCTTTTTGATGTTGGAATTTATCCCTGGCGCTATCAGAAAATTTGATTCACTTTTTGAATCAGCTAATGCGCTAAGAAGGAGAAAAACGGCATTTCCTCAGAAAAAAGTTAAGAATTGTTTGAAAATTAAGAATGTTAGCTGAGGCTTTTATCCATCCTTGCCCTACTCAACCCTTTGATATACCATGGTATCCTGATAGATCAGCTCAGAGGATTGAGGGCAGGTGATACTGTGTTGTACTGGTTCATCTCCTTTCTCCAGAATTAATTCCTGTTAGTGGTGATGAGGGGAGGGGGATCTTGCCCTTGGAAGCTACTATATGGGGTGACACAGGGTTTGGTGCTCTCTCTTCTCCTATTCAACATCTACATGAAGCCGCTGGGAGAGCTCATCCATTGCCATTGGGTGAGTATCATCAATACACTGATGATATATCTTTGCCTCTGGTGAATTAAGCAATACCATAGACATCTTATCTTGGTATCTAGAGGCTGTGAATATCTGGATGGGGAACAAAAGTAGCTGAATCTTTACAAGACTGAGTGACTGGGTTTTGGGGCCTGTTGGCTGTAAAGCTATACCATCTTTGACGCACTGCCCCAAACAGACTTCTGTACAACTTGGAGGTCCTCCTGGACTCATGATTCCTGCTCAAAGAATAGATGGAAGTCATGGCTAGAAGGACCATTGCACATCTTTGTTTTACACCTATTCCTAGATCAGGGGCTCTGCTTGTTGTCACGTATGCTTTGGTCATCTCTTGACTGGACTTATCTAATGCATTCTACACGGGGTTCTCCTTGAAGAGTATCTGAAAGCTTTAGTTGGTGCAAAACGGCGAAGCAGGGTAGTTATGTGTGCCTTTAGAACATCATTTCCCTGAGCTGCATTGATTGCCAGTCTGCTTCCGGATCCAATTCAAGGTGCTATTTTCTACTTTTAAAATCTTTCAGCCTGGTTATTTGAGGGACAGCCTCTCTTCAATTATATCTGATAATTCAATCAGATCCTCCAAGAGAGGCATGCTATACAGGGGGTCCTCTACTTACAGCAGTTCATTTAGTGACCGTTCAGTTACTTATGACCATTGTTCACACTTAGGATGTTTGCAGCATCCCAATGATCATGTGAGCAAAATTTATTTATTTTATTTATGTTGATTGTTGTCCCCCAAGGTCATGTGATCCCCTTTTATGACCTTCTGACAAGCAAAGTCAATGGGGAAGCCAGATTCACTTAACAACTGGGTTGTTAACTGTAGTGATTCACTTAACAACAGAGGCAAGAAAGGTGGTAAAATGGGGCAAAACCCACCTAACAAATGTCTTACTTAACAACAGGAAGTTTGGGTTCAATTGTGGTCGTATGTCGAAGACTATCTGTATAGGTCTTGTATGTTAGGGAACTATACTTGACAGGTCTCAGGTGGTGAGCCTTCTCTGCCATGGCGCCTACATTATGGACTCTGACGTGAGGCTGATTCCATCCCTGTTGATTTTCAGGAAGTCCTTAAAACCTGGTATCAGGTCTGGGGCTCTAGGGGCCTTGTGAGGTACTGAGAAGGTTCTATTCTTGTTAACATCTGCTGTCCTTTCTTTACTTTTGTAATTTTAGGATTTTTAAAAAATAATTCAGTTGTTAAAAAAATATGCTGAACTGTTTCATAGATGAAAAGTTTATTTCCTTTAGGTAAGATGGCAGGATTCTAGACAATAAATTATCAGCAATTTGCATTTTTTATGCTATAAAATAGGCCTGTGTTCCTAAAATGCTCTTAGAAATCCTTTCAAAGATCACGAGAAGGATAGCTGTTTTCTGTTTCAAGCAAGAGAGAATTTGTCTTAAAAGAATTGAGACTTATTCATATCAGTGTACTAATATATGAATTTTTGTAGAGAAAAATTGAGCAAGATTTTTCTAGCAATAAAGAGATACTCATTATTGAAACTAAAAGACAATTACATTTACATTTTTAAACAATAGAAAAAATATAATACAAACTTTATTACACAACATTCTTCTGTAGTATATTATTTCTAACATAATAATTTTTATTTACTAGGCTTGTTTACAAATGGATCCTGCAGACAGGATATCATCTGCTGATTTGCTACAGCATGAATATTTCACCAGAGATGGTTTTGTTGAAAAGTAAGCTATTTGGATATAACATTCAGCATTTAATCAAAGAGCTTTTTGAGATGGTTGGCTTTTTTTGTATGACAGATGTAAAATTGCTGTTAATTTATTGATTGGAGAGGGTCAAATCTCCACCACAATACTGCTTGTGTTGCTGAGACGCTATATTTTTCTCATGCGTAATATCTGTTTTCTTGGAAACCTTATTTTCTTCACATGTTCTAGATACAAAACAGAGCAATTTGAAATGCAATTACTGTGGGATTGCTGTAATTCAATGTCCCAGTACTCTGTAGATCAGAACATCCCTCCCTAACTAGTACTCTCCAGATTTCTAGGTGCTTACTACTTTTAAAAATTTCTATCTGGTGTGGCTTTGCCTGGGTATTCTGGCTTTTTCAGCTGAAAGAAATCTGGGGGGCAAAAGGGTATTTGAAAGGTGGGCCAGAGGCAGTAATGTGAATGATGGTAACTGAGGAATTCCAGAACAATGTGAACATGAGGGTATTACTTTAGGAAATTTAATAGTTTTTTTCTCCCAAAACTTCCTAATTAGCCAAGTTTCTAGGAATTAGCCTGGGAAAAAGAGGTAGAGAAGTTATCTTATTGTTCTTGTTTTATCTCATGTTCTTGCTTCCAGGATGTACTTAATTGACAGGGTTCAGAGCTCAAATCTGAAAATTATATCCTCAGACAGGGAAACCTTTTCTACAGAGAGTGGTTTGCACTTAGAATTTAATACGAGGAAAAGGAAGATATTAATGCCCATTGGAGGAATTAGTCCTATGAAAAAGGAAGAAAAACCTTACTTTTTGAACCCAGATCTCAGGGCCCAGGTTACTGGTTTTGGAGAGCTGTGTTTTTGCATATCTGCTATTGAACAAATTGGGCTCAAGAATGAAAAAAAGTGAACACAAGTGCTGAAAAAAACCTCTCTGAGTCTTACAGACATCTTGGAAGGATGAAAACATAATCTATACAAGAGAATGTCCCATCACGAGACAGGTGGTTGGTTTTTTTCTAAGAAAGTATATTGTTAGAAGCTTGATTCATTTTCTGAGAAGAAAAAGGGATCAATGAATAAGATGTTCTCAGTTTCAACAAATGGCTTACCATATAAACACAATATGGATGAAAGAAAAGCAGTATCTTTTCAATAGAAAGGCTATAAACAATGGAAGAAGGTTTTACTGCCTTTGTCCAAAAGATGGGTTATGTATCTATATTAGAAAGTTTACTAGCCTTGTCTAGCTTGTCACCCCAAAAAGCATATATTGTGATGGTTTCAGATACAATTTTAGTAATTAGCTTGAATGAATGGAATGTATAGAAGGAAAGCTTGAATCACAAGCCAGTGTGAAAATCTTTTTTATTTATTTTGCAGACCCTTATAGTTTGGAATGTATCCATGGATGACATAATAATCTTAGGTATTAGATGAAAAAACTGAATGAATAATGAATTTGTTGCAAATCTGTCTAGGAACTTGTTCTGTTTTTCAAACTTCAAAATAGTTTTGCTAAAGGGACAAGAAAGAATCCTGATTTTTAAACACAACACATAGAACAGTGCATAATTTGTCAAGATTGAAAGAGAATTGGAAAGAGAACATATATTTTGTACTGAGAAGTAAATATTTAACATGGAACAGAGAGCACACCAGCAAATCCTTTAAGTCTTTTCCAGAGAGATCAAATCTATGATATAGAGAACATGTGTTGTCATTTGTATGCTTTGTACAGTATATTTGCTTTGTATAGAGTGTAGATATATGGCAGTAACTGAAGCTGGATACTGAAATTTATGTGAACTGTCTATTGCATTAATTTCTCTATGAATTATCCTTACTTTATTGCATATACAATAGTTTCGTCTCTAGAAAGAAGTAGGTGGTTGGGAAAGTAGGAAGAACCAAATTGTTGTAGGGAATCAAGCAACTGGAGAAGATTATACTTGAAATTGTCAGGGTAATTTAAATAATGTCATTTTTCATATCAGATTCCTACCAGAATTGAAAAGCAAATTACTACAAGAAGCAAAGCTGAATTATCTTTCAAAATTCAGAGACAATAACAAAGAGATGGAACAAATCAAAGATGAAAAGAGAATAGTTCATATTAACATGTCTCAGAATGGTCCTGTAACTGTAAAGGTAAGAATGATTTATGATTATTCTTTTAAAATGTTTGATCTATGACACAACATATAACATATACAAATTATCTGTTAAATATCTACAGATATACTGTACCATTATATTGCTTTATGTATGGTTTATTTAATCATATTTATAGTTATATTAAATTAATCTCCATACAAATTAATTTATTCTTCTCTTAATACAGTGATTTAGTCTTATCTCAACAAGTCAGGTCTATTGGCAATTACAGCTCCCAAAATTGTGGGAATTTTTGCTCAAAAAAGCTCATGAATATCAAGTTAAACAAGGCTTAATTAAGAATTTTGATTAAAGAATTGTGAATTTAAGACCCATCACAAGACTCACTGATAACTCACACCTGACTTATCACAATAGCCATTACAAGATTCCTCATTTGACACACCCACAACTTACTCATCACAAGACTTATTGACCATACGAAGCCCTTATAAACAGAAGAATATCAACACTGACATTCCCTAAACTCTGCTGAAGATGTTACCTAGCTTCGTAATGAAATATTTGGAAACCAACCCACAAGCTCGGAGAACGAATCTTCACCCTCGTTTATTCAAGAAACCATCCAACTCCCACACAGAGGGACTCTGAGTAGTGTACAAATAAAATATCAAAGCCATTTGTTAAAACATGTATTAAAATAGATAATAAACATTTGGTGTAGTGGCTATGGCATCAGGCTAGAAATTGGGAGACATAAAATTGGAAGTCTATGTTGGTAATAATAAGATATCCCAAAAATACAATGTGATAGAATGTGATACCAAATTATTGGCATTAGGTTCATTCTAGATAATTGATTTACACTAGAATTGGTTTTATAATAGGCTGCTTAATTAGGCTGTAAGGCAAACAATTTAACGTTAATAAGAAAATCTCAGGTCTGGTTTTTCTAATATTACTGAACTGAGAGCTCTAAACTGCTTTTTTTTCAATTACATTAATTGTAAAATAAAATGTCTTTATAACTGAAGAAATATTTCCAATATTGTTTTCGGTGTAGCGAGCTCCAGAGGAATAGCTGGCATGTTTTTTGCAGCAAAACCAACAAAGAGTTTTGCAACCCCCCAAAACATATAAGTTTGTTACAATCACCTGATGAAATGGATTTGTGCGACAGTATTTTGATGTAACAAATGTATTAGCTTTAAAGTGTTAAAAGACTTGTTTAATGCAGTATCCCTGTAAAGAAAATATTCTCAATTATTTTAGTAAGAGAATTCCACAGTTAATACTCCCAGCATATTATCCAGAGAATCAGGTTCATGGATTCTACTGGCAAGATGACATTTCATCTATCAAAGTTAGTGTTCCATAGTTGTTGAGTTAGTATTCTGGATTAGAAGATTATGTAAAATTTACACAGGTTTATCTATTGAAACTATGAGTAAATAAAGCAGGGCCTTCCTTATGTTGTTATCTACCAAAATAACTACTTTTAAATTCATGTTCCGAAATGATTTGAACAGTTTCATTTTTCAATGAATTTCATAAACATGTTTCACATTGTATAGTATGAGTAGATGTATTTGCACAAAGTTTGAATGTATTACTTGTTTTAGGAAATGGAAAAAGACAGAAAGTCAAAGGAGATGAAGATCAAAGGTATTAAAGTGAAAGGGGGAAAATCTGAAATTTCAGAGCTTAAAAGAAATGAACAAGAAGATGCTGTTTCACAGTGGGTGACTTTGTCTCAGAATGCTCTAAACTTACCTTATGAGAACAAACCCACAATTGGTGATGGTACCAGCTTGATAACAGTTGGCATTGATGCTGGTGGGATGAAGGATGAAGCTCCACAGACACCCTGTACAACAATGCCACGGATACATCCAAACTGTGGAAATCTTACTGCGAATTTCAGTTCACATTTCCTGTGTCCTAATTCAAGGTATCGATTGGAAAACTGAATGCTGGCCATATATAGGGGAGAGTTGGATGGAGGATAGGAAAGGGAATTAATTTCTATTCATTTTATAGGGTTTATAGGCTTCCTCAATCACAACCAACCTGAAGCAATGTTTTATTTCCTCTCCATAACTTGGATTAATACTATACTATACAACATGTAATTATAATATTGCATTCATAAACATCACAAAATTAGATCCTGGGAATAAGAGTAACTTCCATTCCCACCAACCAACAATTTCTATTAATAGAAGGAAAACATCTCAGTCAACCCTCAGGGCTCATTCAAAGCTTTAAAGAGTAGGATTTTTTTAATTCATAGATTTAAATATGTTTTTGACTCCTTATTTAAAAATCATCTTTTCAGGATAAATGTTTTAAAATGATATATGAAATATGTTTTTTAATTTCATTTTGGAGGAAAACATTACACTCTCAAGTGCTCAATTATTGTCCAAGAATAAATGTATTCTTTCTTTATCAGACTTCAAGAAAAAGCAAAGAAACGGCGAAGTCCTTGGCCATCAGTAGGACAAATAGGTTCAAACAGTCGTCAAGAAGATGGAGTTCTGACTCAAGTAATGATAAAAAAAATATTTTGTAAAATACTATAGTTCATGCAGTAAAATAATTATAAATCAAATTATTTTCCAATTAATTTTAATCTATACTAGATTTGACAAACTATTTTTTTTTGTTTAAACATGGTTTATAGCCCAGCTACAGGTAAAGCAGGAAGGAGGTTCATCCACCTTAGGTATGAAAAACCAGCTGAGTGACTTTAGGCCAGTCACTCTCTCTTAGCTGAACTTACCTCACAGGGCTGTTGCCATGGACAAAATAGGAGCAGGAAGGAGTATTAGTTATGTTCACTACCTTGAGATTTATAAGGTAATAAAGGTGGGATTTAAAAAAAAACAAATCAGGATACGTCCTATTTGGAGGCTTATGTATCTTAAAATCAGTATTCCTATTTGATGGTCTCATATTTGAATACATTAAAAAAACACCTCCTATGCCCTTTTAAATCAGTGAGGAAATAATGCCACTTCTGATTTCAGCTAGACTCAAGCAAATTTGTCAATATTATACTTGCTGACTTTTGTAGTGTTTTGATTTGCTGTATAGGTAATCACATTTAGCAATTGCCTCTTACTATGACCACTTGCAGTTACAATGGTGATAAAAAAGGAACTTTGCAGCCAATGCCTGCATATATGACCTTTGCATTGTTTCTCACTCACATTTGCTATTACAGTCAACTAGTACGATATTGGATTGTCTACACCTGACTTGTTTCTTTTGTTTTTATTTTGTTGTCCCCGGCAGGGCAGAGAGATTATTATTTAAGCAAGCTATCTCTTCCTGAGATGCTTTTCTCCACAATGCAGTACCTCTCCAGAAGGTGCTAACCTTAAGTTAACAAACTCAGCTCTGTGATTTTCATTAGTTGATTGGAACTGTCCAATGGTCTTGCACTGCTGCCGGACAATAACCAGACCCTAACTAATTTCACATTGAAGATTCTTTTGCCTCTAGGAAGCTGGCAGCCATGAGCTTGATAGGAAAAGTGCTAGCACCTTCCTTTAGATGCGTATTCCCCATTGTATGCTAACCTACTCTCTTGTAATCCCTTCCTATCCAATTAATGCAAATAGTTCTTAGTTCTTTTCTTGCTAATTATCCAAGTGTGGGGAGGGAAGAAGGAAAAATGGGCCATAAGATTTTTCCTTTTACCCAGCTTCCTTGTAAATTGAATTCTGGAAATTTTCACCTAGATTCACCTAGCTGTTTTGAGTCATATCTTTCTGCCACTAAAAGAAAGCTGAAATCAAATGATGAGCACTGTTGAGGTCACATGATTTTTCACCTAGGGACTGCTTTGCTTAACATCTGAGTTATTGGTTTCAGTTGAGGTTGCTAAATGAAGTCCAGCTGTGTTCATCCCAGGGATGTAATCAACTTACTTTTGTTACTGGTTCACAAATGTTTGCGTGCGCCTCTATGCATGTGCAGTACCTTCTGCGCATGCACAGAGTGTCAAAAACCAGACATGATGATGTCCGAGCGGGTAGGCGGAGCCTCCCGCAGCCACTGCTACCGTTTGCCTGAACCTGATAGAACCAACTGAATAGCACCACTGGTTCATCCCCAGTGTTAAAACATCCAATAGGTTCTGTTGTTTTAGTATAGCCTGGAGTTTATTCCAATTCAATTATATTCCATTGTAAAATGTTTGCATTTTTTCAGGCTTCTAAAAATGAGTAAACAACTTAATGTTAAATGGACAGGTTGATGTCTACATTTTCCTGGCCTCTGGACCATAGCTTGTTCCTATGATCTGAATTGGAAAATAAATAACTGTCACTGACTATCTCTTTGGCTTTTTTTGGTGGTTTTGGTTACAGAAAAGGCCTATTTGAATGTGATAGCTGAAAGTAGCAAAAATTTTAAAGATTGACTATTGAATTCTGATTCATAGCCTTTGGTGTGCCAGTTAAATAATTATTTTAGAGAAATATGCTTGGAAACACATTTCAAACATTACCTTGGCTTTCCCATTTTTTTTTCAAAGGAAGTTGCTGCTTCTTATTTTTTAGCAGGTAAAATAAACAAATCTTAGTAGACAATGTAAACCAAGCAAGTACTGTATTGTTGGATTTTTCAGAGAGATAATGCTGAATGCTGTCAGTTACTAAAGCACCAAATACATTGATTTAGTTTGCCCAATATTTTTTAAAGAACTTCTACTTCCTATTGATATAAGCTTTCTCTAAATAAAGGAAAGATTTTTAGTATGTTACAGGAAAGGCAGAAATAAATAAAAATAATTTAAAAAATTAAATCTTAATGAATTCTCAAATATGTCTCCCTAGAATAATTATCTTGCATGACTAGGGTCAATTTCTTATATTGAAATTATATGAGTTAATTTTTTAAAATTCTTTTTTATTTTCTTAAAATGAGGTTTGTGCGCGGCATCTGGTGGTGTTGTATGTACAATTGTTCCCTGAAGTGTTGTGTTGCTGATTTGATATAAATTATATTATAATCATGGTATAGATGTTTCCTTGGATGCATAATTATTCCATGTTTAGAACCAAATGGAGAAAGTATCCCTGTATGAAAGAGCTGCTCAAATTGATCAAATGGTGAACATAAACAGGAAGAAACGCAACATTTCAAGATGTGAGAAAAGAGAAATTCACTTGCCAGAACTAAATACAACAGGGCAACAGAAAGAATTGAAAGCAATGGAAAGTATGTTTGTTATATTCTACAGGTCTTTGTAAATATCTTTGTATATATAATTATGGGCCTTACACCTGATATGTGCATCTGTAATTATGGACTTTAAATATGAAGTAGCATTACATCAGATTTAAAGAAATATTCCCAAAAAATTCATTGACAGTAAACAGTCTTTTTGTTTAGTACACAACTGGAGTAGCATCTTTTCTTTGTAAAGGGATGCCTGAATACAAACTAAATCCAAAAATTATTGGAAATGGGAAAAAATCCAGCTATTACTGGAGTACAGTTACGTATGGCTGACTTTAAGTCACAGCCAGCAAGCATATTTGCCCCCAATTCAAATGGAGCTTTAGTGTTTATATTTAGCCTTCATATTTCCCCATTAGAAACATTACTTGTGGTCCTCGACTTACAATCATTTGTTTAGTGACCATTTGAATTTACAACAATACTTGAAAAAGCAACTTATGATTGTTTTTCACACTTAACGACTACTACAGCATCCCCTTGGACATGTGATCAAAATTCAAACGTTTGGCAACTGGCTCATATTTATGATGGTTGCAGTGTCCCAAGGTCATGTGATCATCTTTTGTGATCTGACAAGCAGTCAATGAGGAAGCCAGATTTACTTAGAGAGCCGAGGTGGCGCAGTGGTTAAATGCAGCACTGCAGGCTACTTCAGCTGACTGCAGTTCTGCAGTTCGGCTGTTCAAATCTCACCGGCTCAGGGTTGACTCAGCCTTCCATCCTTCCGAGGTGGGTAAAATGAGGACCTGGATTGTTGTTGGGGGCAATATGCTGACTCTGTAAACCGCTTAGAGAGGGCTGAAAGCCCTATGAAGCGGTATATAAGTCTAACTGCTATTGCTATTGCTATTGCTATTAACAAGCATGTTATTAATGTAATAACTGCAGTGATTCATTTCACAACTGTTGCAAAAAAGGTTGTAAAATGGGGCAAAACATAACAATTGCCTTGTTTAGCCATAGAAATTTTGGGTTTGGTTGTATACAGGACTACATGTATTGTGCAAATGCTACCGTTTGCACTTATTTTTGTTTGATTTTTTTAAAGATCAAATTAAACAGCCCCTCTATCCTATGCTGCTTTCTCCAGTAAAAATGTAGTTCCATTTTAATATTTTAAATATAAATAAAATACTAAAAGGTAAAGTCCTGAATAGTTTGGCCACAAGATGACCAAGAATGTGTATTAGTTTATTTTCTTTGAACTGGAGAAATTCCATAACCAACTGAGAAAGTGCTTTGGAACCCCCTCATTTTCTAAAAAGGCTTGCAATACATGTGGTAGGGGAAGAGAAGTATTACTTTTTTTAATGGTGAACTATCTTTTGTATAATGCAATGCAAGATAGCAAATATACACTGACATTTTGCTAGCCATGCCACTGCCCCATTAGAGCATATTTGAAACAGAATCTGGCAATAGAAGTCAAATCATACTTCTGTGTTCATTGAGGCAGTATATGTCTATAAGCAGTAGATAACCAAACAAGCACCCAAATAAATAGAAAACAGTATTTATGTGTGTGTATAAGTATGTAATGTCACACATAGTCATTACATAAGGATATGATATCTGTTGCTGCATTCAACTTCAGACCTATTCTGAAGAGACTAGTGGCATGAAAGTAAAAAGTATGTATTCATAGTCTCAAATGACATTCCCCAGAGTTCATTTCACTAATAAATATTGGTTTATTAATAGTGGTTTATAATAGTGGTTTATTATCTATGATTTCTGTTTTCAGTTGCTTTTTAAAAGACTTCCTTGGGCCATTTTTTAAATGCTAAGCAGCCTAAACATTTTTTAAATGCTAAGAGTTTCAAATTTGGACCAGAGGCAGTGATTAATGTTGCTTTTCTGACAGGTATTATGCTCCTGCAAGTGGGTCCTTTCATTTATTTTTCATCATATAGGCTGAGGTCCCCAAATATATATGTATTGAAAGCTGAATTAAAATATGAACGCTTTGATAAACAAATACTTTTTCCTTTTGCAGTGGTTTCCTTTTGCAATCTTCAATGGTTTTGTTAGCTATTGAGTTGTAGTTTTGGAATATTTCTTCAAAACAGAAAATGTGCCATGGGTATAGAATAGAATTCTTTATTGGCCAAGTGTGATTAGACACACAAGGAATTTGTCTTTGGTACATATACTCTCAGTGTACATAAAACGAAAAAATACATTCATCAAGAATCATAAGATACAACACTTAGTGATAGTCATAGGTTACTAAATAAGCTATCAAATCATACTAGGAAACAAATAAAACAATATAAATAGTAAAGATACAAGCAACANTGGATGGATGGATGGATGGATGGATGGATGGATGGATGGATGGATGGATGGATGGATGGATGGATGGATGGATGGATGATGGATAGATGGACGGACAGACAGACAAGATAACTGATAGATAAATGAGAAAGAGATAGAAGACTGAGAGAGATGGATGGATGGACATTGAATGGAGAGGTGGTGGGGGAGAGAGAGAGACAGACAGACAGGCAGGCAGGCAGACAGGCAGGCAGGCAGGCAGACAGACAGAGAGGTGTCACAATCTCCTGTTTATTTCAACTCTGCCCTAAGGCTGATGCATTTGACGATCTTTATTTGCCAGTTCCGTGAAAATATCTGAATTACTTTCCTATTTTTCCTCTTTCCTGGTTTCTTTCCGATAATTAAAAGGCAGCTTGGATTAGAAGAGTGAGCAAACCGTCTTCACTGAGACACGTCAGAGGGAAGTATTAAGGGCGCAACCAACCCAAGCCTTCTGGAGACCCGTCTGAAGTTTGACAACATCCAACCCAACCTTCTCATATTGGTGCCATGAATAACAGCAGCAACAACGAGTGCCTTCTGGTGCCCCTGGAGGCTATCAAGACCTTTAAAATTCCCATATATTCTATCATCCTGGCATTCGGCCTCCCTCTGAATCTCTTGGCAGTTTGGTCATTGATCTACCAATTGAAGAAATCCGTCGTCCTTTCTGTTTATATTATGAACCTGGTGATGGCCCACCTCTTGCAGATCTTAACCCTGCCTTTCTGGATGTATTATAGCCACAACAATCACCATTGGAGCTTGGGGAAAACTGCCTGTCTGTTCGTTGGCGTGGCTTTCCGTACGAATTTCTACGCTAAAAACAGCTTCCTGTGCCTCATTGCCATGGAGAGGTATCTCGGCCTGGTGCACCCACTCCAGTTCCACGGGGCGCAGAGTGTGCGAGGCGCCGTGAAGATCAGCATCCTGGTTTGGCTTCTGGTCTTGACTTTCTGCGCCGTTGGCGTCGGCTTACAGAACCGTACGGTCGATCTAGAGAGGAAGACCTGCTTGGACAGCTCCATGCTGAATCTTCATTATGCCAAGTTTCGGGTCAGCACTATAACTTTCTCCTTCATCATCCCATTCCTCCTCATGGCTTTCTTCCACATCAGTGTCCTCGTCAAGGTCAAGCAGGTGGTCTCCCTGGAGAAGAGAGTCAAAAAGCAAATCTCCGGGTTCATCTCCCTCCTCATTATGGTCTTCCTCCTCCTCTTCACACCATACCAGGTCGTTTCGTATTATAGGTACCTGGTGGAAGTCAGAGCGCCTCCCGCGACGGTCTGCGACTCTCTGAGGGCCATCTTCATCTACGAGCACGCAACACTGTGCCTTTCCCTTTTGGACAATATCTTGGATCCCCTTTTCTATAACCTCCTCAAAAATATTCGGACGGATATCAGATGGTGCCTCTTCTCCAGGGCTGGCAGAAAAGGCCTCTCGCCGGAAGCAAAAATCTCTTCTACGTTTAGGCAATGTGAAAACACCAGGCCTCTTCCGGATCCTTAATCTTACCGCGTGGGAAAATCTAATCACTGATCCTATTTGTACGGGGGGGCGGGGAGAGAGAAAATTGGAATGTTACTTTGATTTCTGATACTCTGTGAAATGGATGGGATGGGATGAATTGGAATTAGAATGGAATGGAAAGGAATGGAATAGAATAGAATAGAATAGAATAGAATAGAATAGAAGAAGGCAACAGAGAATGAAATGGGAATGGAATAGAATAGGACAACAGAGAATGGAATGGAACAAACAGAACAACAGAGAATGGAATGGGATAGGACAGGACAGGACAACAGAGAATGGGAATGGAATGGAACAGAACAGGACACAGAGAAAGGAATGGAAATGGAATAGAATAGGACAAGAGAATGGAATGGAATAGAATAGAATGGGACCTTGGAGGTCTTCTAGTCCAACCTCCCTCTCAAGCAGGAAACCCTATACCATTCCATTCTCTGTTGTCCTATTCTATTCCATTCCCATTTCATTCTCTGTTGCCTTCTTCTATTTTATTCTATTCTATTCTATTCTATTCCATTCC